CTGTACTGGGAGCCTCTGAAGCTTTTCTCCATTCTATCCTGATGAAGGTTAACGTAAAAGTGGTACTTGGTGGAACAGTGACGTTAGTTAATTGTTTATATTGCTATTAAATTTTTAAATATGAATTTTAACCACTATGTACCTTAATTTCATTGTATTACCTCTCCTCTAAGTGAGTTATCTTGTCTCACAGAAGTAGTCCTTGCTCCGAAAGAGTTAACTTTTACAACTATGTTTACGGCGTTCTTATTGAATTTTACATTATTATCGATGGCCATTGCAAGGAAAACAGCATTCGTATTTACGATACTTTTTTTCGTCAAAAATACCCAGCGGTAGCCTGCAATTTGCCACGTACTGATAAAGCTGGTCAATCTCGTTCTCGTGTAAAATACTTGAATAACGTATTCATATATTTTTTACCATTTCACGCGTAAATTGCTCCTTACAGGGTCGATGCTCAACAAATACTCCATCGAAGCACAAGGAAATGTGAATTGCAGGGGTTCTTGAAGTTTCGATGTTTTCTAGACCGACAACGGTATCGAGTCGCTAAAAACACTGAATAGCTTGGGAACAGCTGTTTAACTCGTCAAATTTGCCATTGACAGCTTACAAAACCGACACGACATGCATGATTACATAATTTGATTCTAATAGCACTTCTTGAGGCTGTTAAGCGCTTCTTAAGTTAATAGCTGTTCTTTGAGCTACAAAACACTCACAAAATCATCAGCCACTTCGGTATTTTAAAAGCTTTTACAACTATCGAAATTATCTTAAAATTATAAGTATCAAACCCCTCAAGACTTTTAATCTGAAAAAATGATTAAGAGTATCTAAATATTCAGTACGTTTAAAACATACAAGTTTATATCAGCCCTAAAACGTTCTCAAATTTCGTAACTTTGAACATACAACACTCAATATTAAGTAACCATTAACTCTCAGATGATGAAAATGGATCACTCGAGATCCAGACTTTAAGCTGACGCTTTAACTGTCCACGAAATGTTAAATCGGAATTTTCGTACCTGTGGGTTCACCCGATCCCGCCTTCCAATGTTCTGTCCCTCCAAAGGTCAAAACAACTAGTCCAAAAGGTCCCTTTTTCTGCAATTATCGCTATACTATTTTTTCTTCTGCTTGCATAACAGAAAATTAGGATGAAAGTCCGAATTACTGCCAACGTCCTTAATACTGTCGCTTTATTTATTTAACTTAATCTAAGCGTAACGTATAAAGAAGTGCGTAGAAAAACTTTGATTATTACATTAGGATTCTGATTTGCATAAAAACAAAGAAATACATGAACTTGCATGTGCCTGGTATTTAAAAATTAATGTTGAAAAATGAAAGTGCAATTGGAGCGTCAAAAACGCGACCACGTAGATAGAAAATAATGGCGAAATCGTAGTAAAGAAAGTGCCGTAATTTTACTATTCAACCTATATTTGTTGTACAAAATTAATTTTTGAAGTATATAAGAATTACTTTAAGTTTTAGGAACATTAGTCGCAAATTTTAATTAATTCTTCATGGGTAAAACTATTTATTTTAATGAAAGAGATGTTAAATAATATTATATTCCAAACTAAGACGATTTTTAGGTTAAACAATACGTAAAATGATAAAATGAAGTTACGCCATAGTCTTAAGGTGATATTAATTGGAACATCTAATTCCCTCCTTAATACAAGTTTTCTTGCCCTTCCAGAAACAATAGTATATTCTTCGATCGGTACCGTTATTGAATGTCTATCGTTATTTTTAATATTCTCTTATTTCTACGTGCACCCTGACATTCGCCCCCCTCCCTCCCTGTTCCCTTCCCTCTTTCGTTCTCTTCCATTGGTTTCGAACTCTAAGTAACTGTACCAGCGTTTCCTGTATCTCTTAATTGGTAACGCGATCCGAGGCACAACGGGCAACGGCGAATCGAACTGTATCGAAGGTCAGGATATGCCTGTCCCTCGATTTAGTTCCATCGGTGTATTCCAGTCGCGTGTAGAAGTCCCGCGGAATGCCTTCGCTACAACGTATCAGTGTAGTAGGTACCGTCCAATGGGTAACGGACATTGGGTGCCATTTCTTGCGAGTTTCTCGCGGTGAATCTGTCGCCGTAAAGTCTTCGAATCAATTTCAATGTTGTTTACGGGGCTTCAGACATCTGGCGAGATGAAAAATATTTTTTTTTTCAGACGAAAAATTTGATTCTTTCTCCTTAACTCATTTGCATCGTTAGCGTATATAGAAGTTCGAGCTGTCTGGTGTATGCAGCCTGTATGATGCAAATGGGTTAATAGATTAGGTACATTTTATGAGTCAGACTCGCCATACGTTTATTGTGCTGAAGTCCAGAAGTACGAGTCTAACCTGTCCATCGATGTGAAATATATATTTAGCAAATTTAAACTTGAAAGTTGAAGTTTAGACAAATTCACAATTTCAGATGCTAATATCTAAAAATGAAACTAGGCAGAATTTTGAATTTTCTGCTGGAGGCTTTACAGTAACAGTAACACATATTTGTATTAAACCTTATTAAAATCTTTATTTTATTGAAGTACCTAAATTAAAAGATTCTATAAATGCATAAACAATAATAGTATCAAACTTTATGAAGACCTTCATTTTATTGCATTTTCTAAATTAAAAATTCTATAAATACATAAACATGAACAGTCTAGTTATAAGCATAAAGTTGGAAGGCAGGTGATTAAGAAAATACTACTCTTCAGTACTACTTAGTAAATCGTTTATTGTTATTTCTTAGATATTTTTCTTTTTTTTTGTAGTATATTGTAATGACCTGAAATAGTCTTCAATATTATGCCACTCGTTTTATGGAAATAACGGAATTTTTAGACGAAATCTGTTGATCTATTTTTCAACGTGATGTAATAAGTCATAGAAAAAAAATTAAATCAAGTTGGCGTGGAAAATTTTTTAGAGTGAAATCAGTATTGAAGGGGTCAATGGTTTGCCAGAATTATAAGAATGAATTAAATGTTTACTGTATAATAAAAATCAAACAATATATTTTTTTAATCAGCATTTGAAACCTCAATGAATGTTTCTTTCTGCTTATACGCGAGTATTTACATGTGTACATATAGGTTTGTGAGTGTATGAGTTATATTATTAGCCTTATCATAGATAGTTTTCTAATTGTCACAATTACAATTTTCTGGATAAGTAAGTTACGTTCTTTTAAGAAGGTGAAGATGTAGAGACACGTCGTAGTGTTTGGTTTTGCAATTAACCCTTCTGTATTAAGGGGTAGTTACCTCATTTTTTCTAGGTTCTGGATTAATTTTGTTCGTTAATGGTCGTAGAGCTTGTTTTTAGATAAGATCTCTTTAAAATTATTACGCTGTTATCCCTAAGGTAATTTTTTCTATTAATTTTTCATCATTGTCAAACTACATAATTTACATCTTCACTTTACCCGTAATATAACAGATTCATTAATCATATATCAATAAATTCCGTTTTCATTCACACTTTCAAAAATGGAATCAGGAAAAGCGTGAATTTGCTTAAACATCTGCATTTCACCGATAACTTCCATGTAATGCAAAATCCACCCATAGAACAACACTATGGTTCGCGACTAGGCTTTAACCCTGAAGTGAACCATTTTGTTTCCACCGGTGTAATACAAGTAATGGCTATTATGTACCGTGCAATTGTACCGCGTGTAATTGTACGCGGAAACGAGCGGCGAAACTCGTGTACATACATACACGTACCTACCTTCTGTCCCGATTACGGTTACTCGCTGATGGCACCCTAAATAATAGTGCAATGACGGCGTTGAATAGTAATACCACGGCTATAACATTAACATGATTGTTACTTTGGAATAGGTAACAGAGTGTCTACAATATTAAGACATTATCCGCAGTGAAAACCGTTTACGGTGATCGGAGTAATATGGTAACGAATATAATTCTAATTGAATACACAGAACACGATAAAAAGAAAAGTGTCAATCGATATTTAACAGATTTGTTTCCTTTATTATTAGTTACCCAAAACCGTGAATCAAAGGAAGAAACATTTGTGATCATCCCAATTTCATTAACCCTCGCATAACAATGGCCGGACCGCTTTCTTCAGTATGCTGCGATGTTTTGACGAATGAGGTTATGTTGTCTGACGAATAAACGAAAATCAATTATTACAAAAATGCAAATTTCATATTATTCGTTACAAATTCTTGCAAATGAATATAATATTTTTATACATATACATGTATAGTGTCTACATAGAGAGGTCACGTGTGACCTGGCTATTGGCTTTCACGTCCGCGATGGGAGGGTTAAACGACGTGGGAAAATGTAAAATTATGATTGCAGAAACTGTAACATTGATTATGACTACTGTAACATTTTTATTGCTAAAAATTTTATAAACAGTATATAATTTAAAACAATATACAAACATGTTTACAATTTATAATTATGTTTATGATTTTTTTATCTTATGCAATACGAATCAGTATAGATAACTTTAGAGTTAATTAGTTTGTGCCCGTAGCACTTTCCTTCAACGCTCATCAACGTGGTTCGTCGTGGAAGATGACAAAAGAGTATAAACTGATAAACAGTAATAAACTAGAAAATAGGAAAATAGAACTGGAAAGAGGAAAAAATTAATAAAATACAATGGTGCAAACGTGGAGTATGTCAAAGTTCAGCCAAGGGTTTACTGCTCAAAACAATTGCAGAATCATGTATTGCAGTAGTTCTGGTCGTCAATTCGACGTATAATCTCCACCAAGGAGCTATTATTAAACAGTTCAATCTAAGAATAACGCAGCAATTCCTTATTTAACCCAGTTCAAAGGGTAAATTAATAAGTTCCTTATCCATAAGCAATGAGATTTAGAAGTCTACTAATAGGCTACCGATCAACAAAGTATTAACACTTTTGTATAAGCAACAGAAACGATTCCACAGAGTCTCACGAAAACCGTCTGATTGAAATCGCAGGTGAGGGCTGCGTGGAGAAACCGGTGTCGACCTTATGGCGCAATTACGTTACCAGCAACAGGCCGGACGTGTCGATGAGGCTGACGGTCACGAACGGTGGTTTGACCGCGACGACGAAGGATCACGGTCTGACGGAGTACTGGGCGCACAGGGTAACCTATTGTACTGCGCCAGCATCCCACCCGCGCCTGTTCGTCTGGGTCTACAGACACGAGGGACGGAGGCTGAGGCCCGAGCTCAGGTGCCACGCCGCCCTGTGTAGCAAGGAGTCCACCGCCAGGAGGCTGGCCTCGACCTTGAACGCCAGGCTACAACAGGCGCTCCTGGAATTCCGACGGGACAAGGTCTCCAGGCAAAATGCTAGGTAAGGGGATCGATCGTTTGTCCATTTATGGGATGTTTTATTAATCTTTTCGACCTTTTCTTTCTGTCGATACGAACAATGGTTATGCAGAGGGACCTCGATTATATGAATCGATCAGGCTGATGACTTGTTGACAACACTATACTAATAATAATAGTTCACGAATGTGTACACTATTAACAAAGTTTTTCTTCTTTTATTTCGTCTATATTTTGCTGTCTTAATATTTGCACTCTTTGCTTCGTTTTACGTCGCATCTACATCTGGGTAATTAGCGATGCTAAAGTTCAGTAAGACTAGTATTGAGTAATCAGATATTGTGATACAAGTTAGTGTCCTTCAGATAATACAAGGTGTTCTCTATGTGGTCTTGTGATGTTAAGCTGTCTCTGTGTTTGAGTCTGTGTTATCTTTTTGACGAATATTGTAATCGCGAAATATGTAGTATGTTTTAGCAGGAACTTTATACGCATCTTTATAAAGTTTATTTATGACTTTAACTTAACCCTAGATTACTAAACTATAGTGTCACTTGCGTTATTGTTAATCATTCGTAAAAATTACAACTGAAAGAAAAAACGTAATATTTTAGAAACATATATGTCTTTTAGTTGAGATAGAAACCGTTATAAATATTTATGATAGTCAGACTTAAAAATAACGAAAACTTAAAACAGTAATTATTTAACACAACCTGCACACATGTTGACAACATTGACGGCGACGTGTCGATTTCTGAGAATCGCGAATTGGAGGTCGTAATTTTTGCGATAGTTTAGTAATCTAGGGTTAATAAGTACGTTAATTTTTATTGTTTTTACGCCACCTAGAATATGGATCATTTATTATAGAACATTCATATCTGTAGTATACCGTATCGATGCCACCTAATTTTTTTACTTGGTTTCTATTCTGCTGACTTAATATTTCTTTTAATGTAAAAATCTTGGATTAAGCTTTATTTTTTCGTACCATCTATTGCACGATCTGTTTTTAAAATAATAAATTCTTTATAATGCCTTAGAATGTTTATTACTAGAATGCGAATCTTTATGCAAACTTAGATCTTTATAGGTTAATCTACTGAACTGAAATTATATCAGAGGTTTGTTTCCTTCATCAGGTCCAAAGTAAACTAAAATTTATACTTACGTTTACGCAAATTTTTATCGTATTATGTCTTCATATTTGTGATAAATGCATAAAATTCGCAGCCTTTGTATTAAATTTCCTTTTTTCATCTTTGGTATGAAGTTTTTTCCAGTATTATATCTAAATTTACAAACATTGATACTCACAGCTCCTTTTAATCACTGCTATACAAACTATTGCTTTTCACGATTATATTCTAGTTTTTTGATTCTTTCGTTTAAAAATTACTCATTCATTAATTATTCAAAGTAAAAACGGAAACAACAGTTACGAGATATCCTGATAAGTCGTATCGAGCAAGATCTACGTGACGTTCCACATATCTTATTATGGAAACTGGCCCTAAAATCGGCCAGTGACCCAGTCCCCGTACTCAGGAGGTACGAATCGATATCAAACGAAAATCAGGTTCTCAACCAAGTTCAAATAGGCCAAATATTCCATCCACGTTTCATAAAAGATCTACTTCTTCCTAGAACCATTCATCCATCATCAAGCCATTCATCGATCATCAGCCAATGTCAATTGAATCCGACTGGCAATAAATCTGTCCCCCTAATGACTTACTGGACACTATCCGACGATCTTTTAAACATCGTTCTGTGCTATAGAAAACGTGCATACCGTCCTCCATTAATTCGACAACGTGGAAAAACGATTGTTTTTCAGTCCGCTGGTAAACACGAGCTACCGTAGGAGCCACGACCTCTTCGCGACTGGACAATTTGGGTCATGTCTATAGATCACAACGTAAACGCGATCCACTCGTGATTCAGGTCGGGCTGATCGTCGAACGACGCGTATGTGATTCAGTGTTTCTAGGAAAAGCACAACCGATCAATAAGCCTTTTTCTGAATATATACGGGATGTCGGTGTAACATACCCAAATAGCACAAAAACGTCCGATAGACGTACGTTCCAGACGTTCTGTACATTCGGAGGATGTCAGGAAAAGGTCCATATGTCCCCGTTAGGTCCTCGTTAAGATCTGTAAATGTTCTAGGAAGATCCTATTTACAAAGTGGAACGTCCTGAGGACGTCCTGTGTCAATATTCTCAGAACGTTTCCCGAATGTGTAAAAGTAACATTCCCTGTACGTTTCGGGAACCCTCAAAGAGATTTTAAAAATACTATGGTAATGTCTTAAAAGACGTATAAGAAACGTTTCCCAAATGTTTAAAATTGCGGTTAGGTTTCATTCTGTGCAAGGTGACAGGAGTTAAGTTGGGTTGGTTTGTGTTTAACAAATAAAAAATTAACTTTCCTGCGATTTCCGCACTTAATAGAAATTAAATCTAGTTAGTTCCTATTAATAAATAAAAGGTTAAATTTCTTGTAAGGAATTATAATGAAAGTATAGGTCTAGGGATTATGATCTCCAAGTACAATGTGTTTATTTCTATTTTCACAGCAAAACTCTGATTCGGTGTTGGTTAGAGACAGTTTAAGAAAAAACATGTTTTTTCAACTTTTTGAGGTTTTCGCACAAAACCACTGGTGTCGTTACACTTCTCTATTGATTCTTTAAAGACTGACACCTTGTTCATGAGGTTCAATTACCTTGCACGGAATGACATTGGCGAAAATACTAAACGAAACCATCCAACATTTAAGTCTTGAGAACATCCGTAGGACTTTTGGGACGGACGTTTCTAGAACATCCGAAATTTAAATCTTGAGAATATCCGTAGGATTTTTGGGACGGACGTTTCTAGAACATCCGAAATTTAAATCTTGAGAACATCCGTAGGACTTTTAGGACGGACGTTTCTAGAACATCCGAAATGTAAGTCTTACGAATGTTCTTGGGATGTGCAAAATGGAAGTAGGACATTCGGATATAAACTGGACATGAAACGGACGTCTTTAGGATGTACGGTGCTATCTGGGTAGTGGTACAACCGGGTAGCAGGTGATTCTACGTGCAAAAATAGGTCGAAAATATACAATACAATTTTTTCGTTCGAGAGACTTCTTATTGTGAGAAAATCGATTTTGAATATTAATCTGATACGCGTGTATATGTCGGCGATGCAGCAAATCCTCCATGAATGTTTAGCACAGTGATAGAGATTGGAATTCTGAAGCCAATGATATTTCTTTCAGTCGTATGCGGTCATTAGCTTATGAAATACTTAATGTTCAGTGCCGAGGAGCCTTCGAACACTCATCGAGGATTTACTGTTGTGAGTAGAAACGGAATGCAATGCACAGACGCGTTAGGCAAGTCCTATTCAATTGCACGCGTATCCAGCAGATTTTCAAAGTCGATTTTATCGAAAACAAAGTCTCAAATGAACAAATTTTATTGTATATTTTCGACTTATGTTTTCATATAGCATCACCTTCTACTTGGTTGTACCACCACATTACACCCTATATATTGTCAGACAACACGACGGTTGTAAATTACGGACGTTTGTCCTGGATATGTGGACTATCGCGCCTGAAGCAGGACGTTTCGCTGGGTCGACGACAAACAGGGAACAAAGTAACTTTCTCTGTGTGACTCGAACACCATTTAACCTAGTAGCTGTCCGAATGTAAATCCTCGAATTGGGGAACCTTTCTTCACTCCATCTTCGTTAGTTTCCTCTCCTTGTTCCAGTTAAATGTCCAATTAATTAGGGAGATTTGACTGGAGATATGGCTCTATAGGAGAAAGTGAATCGAAGTGAAATAGAGAATTACTGAACGTCACTTTTAAACCCTGGGTAGACAAAATTCACGATGTACACGTGTATTTGACTAAAATTTAATGAAACTAGTCTCGTTCTTGTATTATATCCTGCATGATTTTTAAATTATACAAGGTACATACGTATATTACGTGAAAATATTAATTTTTCACCAAGATTTAGTATCAAGTTACTGCTATTTTAATATAACCCTGTATAAATGACAATTGGAAATTTAAAACATTCCTCTGCTGAAAATGTTTAATTTCATAATCTTTGATTACAGATGGTTAGTAATTATTAAGGTGTATGCATGTGTAATAATGAGTATACTATGTATAAATGGACGAGAACTCTGCATAATTATAATTGTTACCACCGCACAATGGTTCAGAACTAAAAATTCTGCAGTTCAAGTGGTCAAAACAAATTTTCTTTTATCTTCCAAGAAACTCACATCAACTTATTATTAACAATGGAAGATTTGTTCCATGCATCATTGTTCCCCTTAGACCCTTTCGTATCTCCAATCTCAGTAAAAGGAAAAATGGAAAAAAATTCTTGAATAATTCAGACTTCCATAAAGATGTTGGGAACACTGGTACTGTTGTGAATGATGAACTCCTCGAAGAATATCCCTAAAATTGATAAAAATTTTATCATTTATGTACTTCGATTTGAATAAAAATTATATATCAGTTCCAAAATTGTTGACTCCTAAAGCCAAATAAGTCTATTAACTATTAAAGTGTTATAAGACGAAAACATGTAATTTTTCAGAAGAACGAAAACAAACTGATTCATTACGTAGCATTTTATGTATTAAACAAAGTGACACTAGTACCATCTCGTTTGAAGTGTGACATTTTTCTTGATGTTAAATTTACATATTTGGGAAGATTCCATGTAATAAAATGAAACATTGAAAATTCTTGATGTGTGGCACTTTTCCCACGAGGGTGCGATGTAATGAGCTTAAAAAGCAATTAAAGATTCAACCCTCAGAAGTAATTCAACGTTTACAAATATTAATAATGACAAATGAATCTACAAATGCATCGATTTAACGGTTTTCAACTCTTACAATTTACAATATTAAGCTAATTGTTTATATTTTTACTCTTTTTCAGACTATCACTAGCAAATGCTCTGTACGAGAACCCATCGTTACCACGCCGGAAGTTACTCTTAAGCACCGGGGGCCAGAACTACCGGCCGCCCCTGGAGAGATCGAAAAGCGCGCCAAAACTGTCGGCGATCGAAGAGGACATCGTCGCCGAGGAAATCGAACAGCAGAGGATCCTCGAGGAACTGAGGACCCTAGAGACCGTTGCTCGCAGCTGGCAGGATCAAGACAGCTGGAGACTCGCTAGACTGCTCGACGCTCTGAATCGCGAATCGTCTGACGAGAATGGAAGTATTTCCAGTGGTTGCGAAACCGCCAGCACCGCGACCAGCGAGGAAAGAGCTCCTGGCCCGGAAGATAACCATGCTTCAGGTCAATAGTTTACTAGCACTTGTTATGCTTGGCATTCTTATGTTACGTATACCAATAAGTACATCGCTCTATTTTGTCAAATTCAATACATGTTTTTAAAGAAATCAGAAGCCTATGCGGTTTTAGTGATATTTGCCCTCATCCTTCAATATTCGCCGCCATTTTGAAAAAAGGAGATGGTGGAAAGATGGTTTAAATTTAAACTGTGGTACCAATTTATTAAAAAGGAATATTGTATTACTTATTGGTACACTTAATATTTTACCCTTTAACGGTGTTTGACGAGTATACTCGTCATGTGGAAATGTCCACTTCTTGTAGTAACTCTTACAACTTTCGTAGTAATGACGAGTATACTCGTCATAAGGAAATGACCACTTGTTGGGTAATGACGAGTATACTCGTGATAAGGAAAGGACCACTTTTGGGATATGACAAGTATACTCATCACGTGAGAAAAATACCTATGTATTGCTATAAATATTGAAATCTTAGTAAACATTGGAAAACATATTTCTTTTATTGGAATAAAGAAATCAAATTGACTATACACGTAGACACACGTTTCAAAAACAAAATTATACCGTTAAAGAGTTGAATCCTTTATGGCTAGCATTTGTTAACTACATTTTAACGTTATTGTTATGAAAAAGAACTTGTTTCTTTATTGTTTGTTGTTTATTGCTCTACATTGATCAACTATTAAGTTAATGAGAAGTACGTGTTAAGGTTGTTATTGCTACTGCTATAGTTGCATAGTATGCATGTAGAATTTCTTTGTTTGTTTTTGTAGTATGATAAACATGAGAGTTTGTAAAAGTAGAAGGAATTACAGTGGATAGAAGATATTCCACGTATATAATTAGACTGCAGGTTTTATAGATTTATTGCACAAGCAAAGTTGTAAAAATGAAACACAAACGGTATATAAAATTTTTTGTTTTCTGCTCGTGTCATAAACCTCTTAATTGGTGAAATAAAAGTTTGTTTCTTGTTGATCGTTGTAAAGTAGTCTATAAAAATGAGAAATTTACATAAACATGCGAAGTCTAATTTATGTAAATTAATAGATATAAATAGTGACCGGTCATTTCTCATCAGCCTAACAGCAACGACACAAAAAAAATTAGATTCAATACTCCTGAGGAAGAAAGAACATTTGTTCATACCAATCGAAACTTCATAAATTTATTCACCTTAAGTTAATACAAATTAACATTTAATTCGAAACTGTCTAGTCTGCTACAAACAATTATACGAATGACAGAACCTCTATTATTACGTACATTAGTTTTTTTATCTTCACTATAATGAGTGTTCTTTATATACATACCCTGCATAATGACTGTTTAAAGTCACTGTAAATTATTCGAATGAAACACGCTATCTTTGTCGACAGAAATCGAATAAGCACCACTCAGTAAAACTACCTTAAGAGATAAAAAATTCAGAACTAATATTTATTCAAATATTCTCAGTGTTGCTTGCGTCAGTTTTCGATTATGTTAAAGTATATTTTTACTATTATTTAAAAACAACAAGTGTCTCTGAACTCCAGTTATTAACAGAAAGTTTACTAGTCTTTATACGAAGAATTTAATGAATGGTAACTGATTTTCGAGACAGTGTTCTTTATTTTTCCACTTTTAATTTTTCTTCACCATTACGGAGAATCACAAATGTGGAACTGTACTCCAGCTCTTAAGTATTAGAACACTTATCGGATACGCGGCAAATCTTACAAGGCATTACGAAACAATTACAAGCCTGACATAAATATCATTTATGGCATATTAAAGTTCGATGGACAACGCTTATGTTACTACGAAGTAATAAAAGTGGTCCGAAAGTACACACAGTGGGGGACAAAAGTATTCGTACACGCTTCAAAACGGAACAATTTCTTTCAAATTGATCCGAGTGACTTGAGTTCTTTTGTGAAGTTAGGAACATTAGTTTACTAAATGATGTGTAAAAAATTTGAAAAAAGTTGCAATTGGTCTGAATCGCGTAGAACAGGGGTCGGAAACCTACTTACATGTGAATCTGAAGTACAATTAAAAATGAAAATACAATGAATGAGAGTAATTTTTCTAAGATTTTTTTTTCATTTAATAAAGATATAATTAATATTAGAACTTGTTATAATGTTACTTTAAATTTTCCATATTTATAAAAGTATATTTATAGCTCTGAAATAATTTTTAAATTGTTGTAAGGGACAGGTTTGGCTCTTCCGTCTCAAAAGTTTGCCGACCCCTGGCGTAGAAAATAGTAAAGGTTGCTTTTTACAACTTTTTTATTTGAGGCTGTAATGAAAATTTTATAAATACACATCGAAGATTTATGTTAGTTACCTATATACATGTTGAAAATTTCATCAAAATCGGTTAACGTTGTTATGAGATACAAACGATTAAAAATGTTGAAAATCACGGTTTTTCGCGGTTCTCAACCTATAACTGTAGTAAATCTAACAATTCTTACATCTTTTGATGCCGATTTCAATGAAAGTTTCAGCGTGTATATAACTAACATAAATCTTCGATATGTATTTATTAAAGTTTCATTATAGCCTCAGATTAAAAAGTTGTAAAAAGCGACCTTTACTATTTTATTCGCGATTCTGACTAATTGCAACTTGTTCAATTTTTCTTTTTACACATCATTTAGTAAATTAATGTCCCTAACTTCACAAAAGAACTCAAATCATTTAGATCAATTTGAAAAACGTTGTTCCGTTTTAAAGGGTATACGAATACTATTGTCCCCCACTGTAGGTACACCAGGCGAACAAACTCGGCTTCCACTAGGAGAAAAAGTAACGTAGGAGTAAAGTCCTCCTATCGCTTGATAAATTTATTTCAAATACTAAAATAAATGTTAAACCGAATATTAATTTGGCATAAATTTCAGTAACACCAGGACCAAATGGTAAGAGGTCCTTTCCTTATATCACTTTTTCCCCTAGTGGTAGCCGAGTTTGCTCGTAAGGGTACATATACACTTTTCACGAAACATCACATTTTCTTTACACGGACACGGTGTTCTAATACTTCTGAGCATTAGTGTACGTCCTGGGAACCAATCTCCAATTTCTGAATCTCTTCATCCTAAATCTTCCATTAAAATCTTCACGATAGTGTCGTAACGCAATATATGTCCCTCCACAGGTGAACCAGAACAAAGAGCAGAGAGACGAGTAATGTTCTCCGACGATGTGGTCAGAATGGGTCCAGGACCGCGACGGAACTCGGACGGTTCCCCGAACTTTATGACCTGCTCTGGTAGCCCACGTTTTCATCGTTGCAACGTTTCCACCACCCGGAAGAGGTTTTCGTCGCGGCCAGAGGAGGACGAATCGATGGAAGAGGAGGACGAGGAGATCGAGGATCCAGGCTCCCACGTGTTCGACTTTGAGGACGTTGAGGATTTCGACGACGTGGTCGATTACAGGCCCAGGGGCGAGATACTGCGCAGGATCGACGATCCCCAAGAAAGGGAAAGACGTGTTATGGAGAAGTATCCAAGAGGGATGAGTCACGAGCTGTTGCAGAACGACGAGTCCCCATTTCTGACCTTGGACTCCCTCGACGAGGAGGTGGACAGCGACGAAAGCGGGTACGTGGAGGCACCGCCTAAATCCCTATTAGGTCAGGATGACCGCAAAGAGGAGGAAGAAGCTAACAATGGTCGAGTCGATCAAGGCCAGACTGAGTCACCAGACATCCTTAGGGTATCGAAGCCCACTATTCATGAGAGTCCGAGGAAACGCAAAGATTCCAAAGAGTCGATGGAACTGGAGAGAGTGGAAGAAGAACCCGAGCCTAAGGAGCATAATAAGGTCGTCGATGAGAATCAGAGGATCAAGGATAAAGAGAGGGACAGGTCTGATTTCATTAAGTGTCCTATATCAGAGACTATCAAGAAGTTGGCGAACGCGTCGCTGAAAGGCTCCAGGTCCTTAGAGATGACCACGAACAGTTGTTTGAAGGCACTGAATAATTTGAAGACCTCCAAGTCCTTCGACGGTGTAAAGACCGTCGAGATGGACGCTGAGTCGCCCAGCCTTCATCAGAGGAAGCAACTGTTGGCCCAACATGGGGTTGTTGTTTGAACGCTTCTGGAGATACGAACGTAGTGTTCCGAAGACTCTGAAAAATTGTATATGTCCTCTTCGGAATCATTTGACACGGTGATATCGGATTGAATGGACTGTGGTAAGCATATTGTAGATTCGCTCAGATCATTAGACAGTTCTGAGAGACGATACAGAGCTTCGGGAGCAACCGCCTGTTTGATGGACGTAATCGCTGATCGTTTTTTCTTCAATCGGTGAACAGGCTTTAGTAAAAAAGAAATCGTTTCATCCACGCTATTGATATAAAGTATTCGATGTTGTGCAAGCGCTACGAGCTCGATCGATCGACGCCTGTTGAATGCCTTTGGCCGTTGAACGACCGAGCTTAATAAACTAAAAGATTTTCGCACGATCTTGTGCGATCTTGTGCTGCCCAATTCACGGTCTGCGCCGAAAGTTTAATGTTGAAATGCTAGAGAATATATTATATGTATATATATATATTATTTTACGAAACTGGTAAGAATGGAGACGGTTCTTGAGTGTGTACGAGGGAAAAGAGATATTTTTTAATTCGGACTAATGATCGTTAAGTATCATATCACGACTGAAGATCTTATCGATATGATTGTTTGTTTATTGGAAATGTGGTATGATTACCGATGTTGATTGGTCTGAGAGAATGAATTTCCGGAATAAAGAGAGTCGAATGTGTTTTGCGCGCGTTGTTCGAGAAACTTTCGGAAGAAGTGATATATTATCGACTAAAAAAGCATATATTATCTAAAAGAATGTCTGTGTGTAAAGTTATTGGAAAAGTTCGCACAAATTTATATTTAGCGAGCGTTAATAACGATAGGAATGCAAATTTCGTAATCGAAATTCAGCGTCAAGTTATCTCAACATTGAAATAATGTTCTTTCGCGGAATTGTCAAAGATCGGCCTACCGAATATGACACGTTTAATACCTGTAATGGCTATCGAATACCCAACATGTACTCGCTAGAAATTATTTAAAACGAAGTCCTAACCATCGAAGCAAGAGCGTGCCATAGATGTGCACCAGGGCTAGATGATTTTGTAAAAATATATCCATAAAATTTTGTAGAAAAAGAACTACTGACGCTAAGATTAGTGTACACGCTAATAAAAGATTTATGATAGATTGCATATTTTCAAGACTACAGTGTCTCATTGGATTCGAACTTTGCAACGATAAATTATCACGAGAGATCGAAAATATCCCAGTTATGATAATCATATACGACTGTCTTGAGGTAGAATTAAAAAAGAAACGCTTGGAAATCGGGGAACATTCTACCTTCTTGGAATCGTCTTCGATACATACGAATTCGCATTCGTTACGAGGCCTGTACCGCTAGAAATTGCACCGGTAATTATGGATCGCGTGCAAACCCCGGCAGAAAACTCGAATTGCAACTCTGTAGGGTACATCTCCTCCTCGCGCAGATCCGGGTCAATCAATAAAAGGGGAACTTGTATGCCGGCCGTCAACCCCGCGTCGTCGATTCTTCGACGGGCCGAATCCGCCATCTTGTTTTGTCGATCGAACGGCATCCAAGTTGAGCGAACAGATGATTTTGAGCGATTTTGAACGAATTGTTTCGGAAAACACCTGTGTAATATATATGAATTTAGAGAATTTTTTAATAAATTGTATCACATATACATATGAATGAAGCATTTTACTTGCGGTTTCATGCCTTGAAATATTACTTTTAAGGAACAGGATACTGTATTTTGAATGGAATTGAATTTAATAATACTAGAAATCGTAGAGTGTATTTCGTCTTCGTTAGAATTTATCTGACTTTCATATTCTATTTGTTATTAATAGTTTACGTGTTACTGAGAAATACGTAGATTCCATTTATTATTTATTATGTTAGTTTTATATGAAAGTGTTTGTCATTTTCGATTTTAAAAATTAAAAAATTCACATTTCTGTTAGTAAAAAATATTTTTTAAGAATGTAAATCACATTGTATGCTAATATTCATTTCTTTTTCTTCGAATTGGAATGATCTAAAAGTATTACAATTTATGTAACAATAGGAAAGCAAGAAGTGAATTCACTTTGTCGTAAAGTTAATCGGATTGAATTTTGGAATAATATTAGACAATAAGTACATTTGTAAAAATGATGTTTTCAACTTGTACTAATTTTTTAATCGTAAAATATTGATAGTCGTAATGTTAACATCCATCTACAATATTAAAATTCCTTTATACGATGCAAAATCGGATCATATCTAAAATAATGTGTAGAGCAACGAAAAACAGATAAATCTACTAAAATTAATCTAATAGAAACATTAAAACTCAATTTTGAGTGTTCAAATAAAATTGCCTACAATTAATGTTTAAATAAATAATAAATAATTTGTTCATGCAATGAAGGCCGCTTAATAGGTAAATAAATTATTAACGATTCTTGAAAGTTCTTCAGAAACTACTGATACCTATAACTAAATTATAATTAGTAAAAAGAGTCATAGTATTATAAAAGATATTATAAGAAACAGATTATAAACGATAGAAAGGGTGAAAAAATTCTGTTAAAAAGGATCACAAAATTTGTGCAATACGTCACAATTATATTTAGTTGCAAATTCATTTCCCCATAAACCAGAATTACTCAAACTCCGTAGGAACGACAACAAGATGTCTCTATCTTTTCTGAGTGTTTCTTCGCCAAAAATGCTGCCCACGAAAATTGTTCATAAATTTTCATCGTTGATGCTCTTGACGATGTCAAACGCGATCCCGTCCCCGGGAATGCTAAATTCCCAACGCGCCCTGCGGTGCCACGAATCGTTTATTCAAATCTGGGCCTTCGCGATACCATCTGCACGAATACAAAAACAGGACGCAAGAAGAGGATCATCGATTACATTGCATAGTGATGTATACAAATGTACCATGCTTCTCCGTTTCCGGAGTTCCTTCAGGATCTCTATTTAGTACAGAACGTTCTCGTCAGGTGGCAGCAACTGTCCTCTAAACGTATATCTCACATTCAAAACTTATCTATATCTATAAAAAAAAAATAATTTTGTTCAGTGTTGATAACACCAACTTGTACAGAAATGTACTTTTGTCAAGTACCACAAACTAATAGTTATATTCAATAATGCACTATACCAGAAACTGTTTCATGGAATAGAAAACACCAACTGTTCTCAAATTAAATGAAAATTTTGTATGCTTCAACTGAGAAATTGGGCCGATTTTTTTCAATGTTTTAAATGTATAATTTATGGAATTACTATACATATATAGTGTAGAGGCACCAATACATTAACGCGTACCAGTCAATGAACATGGTATACGTAAACTAGTAAATCAAATTACTAAAATAAGGAAATCAATAAATATTAATTTTTTTAAATTCTTTGTTTCACATTCCAACAATTTGCCATTGGTTAGAAATGCTCATTTAATATTGTTAATTCCCCGGTGGAATCTGCATTTTTTTCTTTCTAATTTAATTAATTAGACTTTTCCCAATTTTTCAAATTGAAATACATACTTTGTAAGAAGGTGTAGATATTAAAAAATCTAATTTTTCTATTCCAAATATTTATCAACATTATTACCTTTCAAAAATCGACTTTAATTTTTACAAAATCCCATAAGTCTTCATTTATCGGTGCGTTTACCCTAGTGTGTTAATTAGTAGAAAAATTGTCACCAAGGAATAAGCATCGAAAAAATTAGTTAATATAACTTGGATAATTATCAAATATACATATTTAATTATTTATTGCAAGATTCCTATAGTGACAAAGCTTGCAACATTTAAACAGCAATCCCCAATTTACGGTTGAACACGCGTAGCGTTCGTTTCGTGGCACCAATGCGAACAATGTGAAACCAAATAGGAGCAATGCCATATTGAATGTACGACGACAGCGAAATGGACCTTGCGCGGAGTCAAGATCAAGGTACCTGATGAAGCCTCGTTTGGAGTCACAGTTCTCCACGGGTATGATAATGTGCCTCCGGTGTGTCGTCCGTGCGTGTGTGTGTGTGTGTGTATGGACGCGTGTTGCCGCGCGCACACGGGGCCCCCCTTTGACTCACGTCTGCGTGACCTACTAACTTGTCCAAGGTACGCACACATCCGTACGCGGATGCACATTCAGCGCACACATCCTCTAAGTGCCACATAAGTGCACGGACAAGAATCAGGACCGCGACACTTTTTTTCCATTTTCCACCGCTTAACTTTCGGTTTACGTATTCTCCACCGCCTCGTTTGCCTGCCGACGTAATACTAATTTCTTCCTCTCTACCCCCAAAAAAGCTATTATATATTCCCCTGATAATTTCGAGAAACACCGATTTACAAAGGCGAAAACAGAAAAAAAATATAATTAATCAATGGATCGTTGAAAGATGGCGTTTAAAGACGTAAGTGAAAATGCTATATTTGAGGTACTGAAAGAGGCTGACGCAGGAAGAAGATTTAACGTTGCCATTCGGGGCAGAGTACCAAAGTAACAGCTGACCGCTCGACGACGGGCGCGGAACACCCAGAAACAGCAATTTCTCTTTTCAAGAAATTCGACCATTTAACTCGAAGCGATTAAAACAGCTTCGCGCCCAGTCCCCTCTCCCGTCAGCTTTCTATCGGTCCATGGTTACGATTCTGCTGCCAGGGACAATTCACCGTGATGATTCCTCCGTAAATGGTACACAGATTCCTCTATCCCTCCCGAGGATAGACTACCGCTCACAAGTATTAGGACACTTGATCTGTATCTGAAGAAAGTGTAATTTTAAAAATGAGAAGTGTACTTTTCTTAACTCATAGTAGCATAAGCATTGTCCATCGAGCTTTAATATCCCCTGAAGAATAATTATTTCAAACATTCAACAAATTCGTAATGCCTTGTTACATTTACTGGATAAATGTCCTAACGCTTATATTATCTTCAGTGATCTCGATGGGGGATCTATGGTTTCCCAGGGGCTATTCCCGACTTCTGTGCACTTGTTTTCGTTCGTGACAGGAGGAATATCCTTGTCTGGTCCCATCTTACGCGTGCATTAGTGTACACGTCGATGCGATGCTGCGCACAGGTATAATGCAGGTAGCTTGTCCTGGGGGGAGGGGGCACGTCAGGCCCCCTGAAGATCGATGTGGAGGGGAGTGGGGCACGTGGGGTCCCATAGAGCGGCGAGTAGCTCCGTAGGGGCCCGCACCCATACGCTCGCGAGCCCGTGAGTAGTGTTAACGGCCTTGCTTTATGTGGGTCATGAAACAAGGTCCCACCAGCACGAGGAGCACGAGGAACACGAGAGAACACCAGCACGCTCGACTCGAACCCCGGCTCGGTACTTCCACATCTCTCGTCTCAGCTCTCTCGCCGCGTCTCTACCGGTTCTGCAAAGCACAATAGGAAGATTTGACGAACGAAACAAGAAGGCGAACGGGAAGAGAGTGCTTCTTTTCTGGTTGCAAATGAACTGCTCGGTGTGCTACCACCTGCGCTGTTCGACAACCTTTTCCTACCGATGGGTAATGATATATGGGAGAATAATGAAATGTGCATTTTGATTGCCATTATTGGTTTCTCTGGAACATTAGAACTGCAGGTGCATGATAGTTTCGACAACTTTTCCCGTCTGTCTTGATAGTTTTATTGTCAGGCTAGCATCTGTAAAATGTCCAGTTTGGATTCATTTTGGACAGTATAGGCTAATGTGTCTTATAGTTCTTATTTCCGTAATCTTCTTAAGGGATCATGCTCAGTCAGGAGGCCGAGAAAAGAGTGTTCTTTAGGAATTTTTTTTCTCGAAAATTATAAGACCTTTTCTGAAAAAATGTGTTTCTGTTTCAAAGATTGCAGTTTCTAGATTACAAGGTAATTTTTTAATTTAAAAATATTTATCAGTAAATAAATGGTGAGCGATCTACCGGATGTCTCTTCACAAAAAGTGGTCTGCTGTGATCACTGTAGCTTTGTAACGGTTTATCTGAAATTAAAAATTCAGTAAGATTTATGTAATGGAAGAACCAATATTGTCCTTGAACGTGGGCTTTTCGAAATATTGATTAGGAACAAAATAGCGGACGTTTTCCTGAAAAAGTGCGATTTTCACCTAAAAAATCACTCGTTTTTGGTCAATTAAAAAAAAAGTATGGAACGAACAAAAGAATCCTTCGTTCAAGGACAAGTTTTTCTGATTTGAAATAAGTCGGAAAAGGCTTCATGTAAATCGACACTGTAGTTTTCGAGAAATATTGATCACCGATTTGAAAAATGTAGTTCCGAGAAAAACGCGTTTAAAGTTTCAAGTCAAGCTTACACTTATATAAAATGTTCATTTTTTAACGTCTGTAACTCTGTCATTTTTAATTGGATTACCTTGAAACTTGCACAGAATATTCTCGAGATGTTGTGCTTAAAGAAAGTATAGAAACTGAAAAATCGAGTTTTTGAAAATTTCTGATTGAGCATGACTCCTTAATCTCTTAGCTGTGAACGACGAGTGCACTCGTTGCGAAGACATGACAATTTTTTTATGTAATGACGTGTATACTCGTCATGCGAGAAAAATAATTATCATTTGTTGTTTAAGTTAAAATTTTTGTGAAAACTAAGATATATTTATAAATGTTTGACATTTTCGAATATTTTGAGACAACGTAG